TTTAAAAAATAAATCGCCAACCAATGGGACATAAATATACCAACCGCGACAATTTGCTTAATTGCATAAATTGCTGCCATGCTAGAGTCCATTCTTTTTCAACCAAGCTTGTTTTATTTACCCTCTCTCTTCTGGGTAGTGAACATTTTGTCCATGTTTGCTATTATTGTAATCGTTTAAAAATTTTCTTATTGTATGCAGCATTTCAAAGGCAGCAGAATGTCGTAAATCATAGTTCGATGCAATCATTATTCCTGATCTGATTTATTAATCCCCAGGCACTATTTGAATGGTGCGAGCTTGCTCAATTAAATTTTTACACAAGAACTTGCAAGTATTAAAGCATATGATCGATATAACAATGTTAATTGGTAATACAATATATTAACATAATTCTACTATATTATATTGTACAAAATATTTTAATACTCTCGCAACAACGGCTAACGGTTGTTTGTAAAACCTAAAACTAATTGAGATAGATATATAATAATATATATATAAATTATCAGCAACTAAAATCACTGACAAGTCCTTCTGGCACCTCCACATAAAGTTTGAAATTGGATGAAATCGGATGAGAAACACGCTCATCCTCTCATGTAAGAGGTTTGTGGAAAACTACTAAAACTGCGACAACTCAATTAATAAATATGTCAAAAGCATTAATTTTTACAGTAAAGTTGGTAGAGATCTATAGGACACTGTATAAAAATTGTATAAATGGCATGGCACCGCCCCCTCTTAAGTGAAATCCTATAACTAAAACAAATTTCAACGAAATTCGGCGCATAACACTATCGTGGCATTCTTATATTACACTGTGAAAATTCGTAGCGGGCAACAACCACACCTACATATTCCCATATTTTATATATAAATCATATACAGTATATAAATCAAGCACCAACCGAAAAATGTTCATATGAGACTATAACTATCCAAGCCCTCAAATTCCGAATATGTGGACCTCAGTGTCTATCGCACACTCTATGAGATATATAATTGAAATTTAGAAAGAATCTTTCCCCGATAATAGATGCCTTGTGTTATTAATGGGTAAAATCGGATAAGGTATCTTAGCAAAATTAAGTGAACGATTCAATGTCGAAAATGTGTGAAATCAGTGCATGAGTTACCTCAACTCCCATATACTCGTGTTACCTACACAGCCGGGATATGTGATATGTAATACAGTAACCAATACTTTGATATACGAGTATATATAAATTGCTTTCCTTTATTATGCAATACAAAAACATCTTAGTTGATTCGTTTTTTTTTTTCTTTGTTCTTTCATTTTGTTAAGGCTCCCAGAATGTGAGGGACCCAGGTCGCGGCGCTGTCGGCCCTGCCGTTAAACCAGCCCTGAATACATATAATGATTTTCTTTATACTACCAGACTTTATGACGAGTATGTCGGTCGGCTTACTTCAAAATTGCGTGGAAACATGTACTCAAGTATACTTAAATAATCCCAAAAGTTACAACCAGTTGCACTAAGAATTGGATTTTGACAACAACAAAAACTTATCCAACACGAATGTAAGTGTAGTAATTATAAGAATGTGACACCTTCGGTTGCTTCCACAGTTGCAGGGTTACAGCTAAACATACTGCTATATGTGCAAGCTATATACATACATACTTAATAGTCTTAAAATATGGACCATATATGTACTAACATACTTATATAATATTATATATAACCTTGTACACTATATGAGTATATAGCTTACGGAGTTACATTTCCATTTAGATATTGCAGTGAAAATGAAGATACGCTTATGAATATGTGGAGTGGGAATATTTTCTGTGTAAAAGTTCATTACACTCTTAAGCGAAAACTTTTTAATATTGTACGTAAAATTTTAATTGAGTTTAAAATTTTATCAAACGACCTGCTCGCATGGGTATAAATATGTTCATAAGTAAATCCAAACACACGCACATAAAATATACATAAAAGCAGCTGTCACATTTGTATTTGGTTCGTAGTATGAACCCTAGGAAGAAATGAGAACATATGTTATGCTAAACGCTCCCTAATTCTGCCATTCAAAATATTAAAAATTTGTTTACTCTTACTTAATGAGTATGTGGAGACGTTGAGTAGAATCTATGGAAAGATATAATAGTAACTCATTAAAAAACGGTATTTCCAAACATTACACAAAGTACTTTTTGGGCCTTTTTTTGGTAGCATAAGAATGACGAGATAAAGTTATACGCCTTACATAAAGGTGGGCAGTGCCACGCACACTGTCTAATTTTTATACCGGCTCCTATGAAAGCATTTAGGAAGTGGCCGCGGATATCATATGATTTCATGTAGTGCGTAGTAGTGTGAAGAAGTGCTAGGGAACTTATTTTCAACAAGTTTGGTTGACAAAGCACTAGTGATAAGCATATCTCATTTTTTACTCAAGTTATCGCTTGCACGAACAAACGGAGAGACGGGTTGGGTGAACAAAACTATTATACTCTGTTGTAACATGTTGGGAGAGTATATTTATAAATAAATATAGTTGCACAATTGACCTTTTCAAAATTATGCACTAATAAAAATTTCCTGCTAGGTCATGCACATGTTTTGTATTACCTACGTACAAATTTAACCAAACTTAGCGTTCACGCGCAAAGCTTGAGCTTATGCAACATGCTGTATCGAAAGTTGAGGGCTTACGTTTCCAACAATTAAACAAAATTCCCCACCTCCACCTGAATGAGTTTTGGTATAGGATTCAAACAGAAGAAGTTTTTTGAAGAAGAATTTGCTGCAGAAGTATGACCAGCTCATTTTCCATCAATTGGTCTACGACCAAATCAGATACAATTTTTTAGTAAGGCTTCTAATTATTTTGCTGAACAAATTCCGTTCACGACCAAAAACAAACCTACCTATCATGGCATATCTCTTTAACCTAACTTAGCCTAATCTGTCTCTGGCCTTTTCAAAGAACAACTTTTTAAAAGCCACGTTCTCTACGCATCACTGCAGTTTGTAAGCAAAGTATGCACGACATTGCTGAATATTCAAGTCCCTTTACAACTGGGCTTATACCTGAACTAGCACATGATTATCTCACTTTTCAGCTTAAATGTAAAATATAAACATTTGTGTAAATGTTAATTTGTGTGGGACTTACGCACCGCTAATGTGATATCCACAAATTGCCCATGAAATATAATATTAAAACCTTCTCCATTCCGCATGATAGCTGGCTATTTAGATGCAACCATATAAATGTGTGTATGTGTGTATGCATATTCACTGAAATTCCACAGATTTTTACATGCGTGGACCATTATGAATTTGCGTAAGCGTGTACCGCAGGAAGGTATACCCTTGGACTTTAATAATTATGTATGAAAATTAACACGCATTAAACAGACTGAGGTATATCCTGTTAATTATACTGCTGGAGAGACCGGTATCAATATAAGTGAAAATGTGTTGTGCCCAATGTAAACCGAATTGTGAGTCATTCCCAGTAAAGACTATATGTATGTGTTATATTATACAATGCAGAGTTTGTATTAATTCTATGAGAGGGCAACACGGGCATTAAAATCATCTATTTGTAGGAACCAATATTCAAAGGACACTTCTTGGACTGTACGTGAGATATACAATAGCATTTTGAGTACAGGAAGTTTTCAAATTGACATGACCGGAAAAGGGGCAAAAAATTACTATGCGCTACTCATATTTTTAAGGCCAAATTTATGACAGCGAATTTATTTCATTTCAAATAGGCCACATAGAAATCTGTAAACTGTTCCTCTGCTGCTCTTTTGTTTGACTATAACCAATAGATTTTCAGATTTCAGGTTGGTTGTAAAGTTTCTGCGCTCGAAATGAAAAAGTACTGTTTTTGGTACGAAATATATTTCTTTATTTAATATAATCTTCCTTAACTTCAATACACTTATTCCAATGTTCCTTCAATAATTTTATGCCATCCCTGTAATGACTACCCGTCTACGGCTGTTATAGCTTCTTCATTCGACGAAAAACACTTTCCACGAAGGAATTGTTTCAGATTTCTGTACAGGTAGTAGTCGCGGGGAGCCACCAGAGAGTGACACCCTCCAAATTTCATTAATATAACTCACATATTTACCGATATATACGGTATAAAGTCAACCTGAAGTTGAAAAATTTTTATATGAGGGGAAGTACTTACTTGCCCCATTTTACCCATTTGTGACACAAAGTCACATTTTTTTGAAAAAAATCTAAGAGTATGCATTTCAATAATATGGTGTATCTCACAAAATTACATATATTTGTCTAAAATATCAGTTATAGGCATTCAGGTCCACAGACTCGGTATCTGGGGCTATAATTTAAAAATTTATATTCGATAACGGCTCTCAATGTATTCGAGTAAAGTGAAAAAATCATATGGAATTTACAATTGTGATATATGGGAAGTAGGCATGACCGATTTTTTTAAAAATGTTCAATCCACAGATACCTTTTTTCACTGCGATATTCAGTACCATAAAATGCAACTGCAATACCTCTTGAGTGTCAGGGAACAAGTGTACCAAGTTTCATCAAGATCGCTTGTACGAACGGACGGATGGACTCATGCATAGTGTCTGTGGCGTAGCTGGACTTCTTACTACATCCAATCCTCTTTCTGTAATACATCACTTAGATGATTAACTTACATTTTCAGTCCCCTGTTATTTCTAATAATTTTGTGGATATCGTTGGTTAACCCATTTTTTATTTGCTTTTTGTTAATTTGATAGAAACTCAAACTTTCTGTATAAATTAATAAGTTTAACAATATCCAAAGTAAATAACTTTATTTAATTTGTATTAGAACCTAAATTTGGGTTAAAGCATCTGTGACCGATATCCACTTGTTCTCCAATTATGATGGATCGCTGCCCTGTCTTCGGTGTGCAAGAAAAGGTGCCCGATTTGTTGCAAACTTTGTCAGACCCATTCTGACTTTTTTAAAATCACATTAATTATTCTCACGTCTCCATTGGTCATAGGATACCAAATATGTTCTTATTAAAAAATAATCCTACAATTTTACATATTTAATTGTTTTCTTTTATTTTACACATTTCAATTACACATTTTTGGTAGGCTACTTTCAAGAATGTATCATTTTTTATTCTAATCATCATCAAATGAAAAATAGTCCATAGCATCTTCATTTTTAGTTGTGGGTTCAATGTTTTGAGTGGAGCTGAAATCTGATGGTAACAATTCCGCAGCACCCAATTCTGTTGGTGGATACATCACTTCTTTAGGTATCACGGGCGGCTTCACGGATACTCTCGTCAAATTAAGAGCGCGCTGTTGATCACGTAAACTTTTATAAAGCTCCGGAAAGCTTTTTTCAAACTGCACACGTACTTTCAAGAAATTATCCAGAATAGTAGGGGTGAGTATGTTGTTTGTATAACCACGCGAATTCCGTTTTACACGTTTACTATTTAAATATGGTTCATAACTTCCACCATCCTCATAGAGCGGATAATGCAAGTCATACGATTTGTAATTCCATGGATCCCTTTCATATAATGGTACAGATTGTAACTCCATAAAAGGTGTTAAGATACTTGGACTGAAGCTGAAAATCGACCCTACATTTTCAGGATCTATGTGAGATGAACTTTCTGGATTAACACTAGAGCTGAATCAACGCGATTTTCAATGAGTTTGGGAGATGAAGATATGTGATGATCATTGGCCGCATTTATGAGGTGAGCATGAAATGATAGATGAAGGAGCAATTTCAAAAATAAGCAATAGATGTAATGGAATTCTAAATTCGGTAATAAAAATTAATCAAAAGAAAATAATTAAAAACAATGCAAGTAATATTTAACAGATCTTGAAATTTGAGATATAATTATTATAGGCACTATCTATCTGTATAACTTATGAATAATCATATAATATATATAAAAATATGAATCCTCTTTTGTCACTGTTTAGCGATACTACTTTGTTCCACTTTTTTCGGTATAGCATTTTCTATTTTCTGCTTTCGTCGGGAACGCATTCGTTTTGTCCGTGCTCTAGCAGTTGTAGTAACTTGAACGGGACTCACGGTCGAAGTCGCCGGAACAATTGGCATAACTAAAACTGAGAGCTGTGGGGGCTTATCGTTAGTCGTACTCTCAGTACGTGGACTCAAGTCGTATAGTAAACTTAATAGTTCCACCACTTTAGCCTTATTTTTATCGACTGTATTGCTCAGTGACGATCGTACTTGCGACATTGCATTAAATTTTATCGGTATGGGCACAGCTGCAGTGCCACTATGCTTTCTAGCACTACTGATCTTAAATTTACCACGCATGGCATATGGACTGGGTGCAACTTCATCAGAGTTTTGCTTTAAATGGTGCAGCTCATCATTAACCACATGCACGTGCTCTCTAATAGAGTACTTCAGGTCGGGCAATTTTTTTCCAAATGCTTTACCCTTATGCTTATTATACATACTCAATTTTTTACTCTTTCGCATCTTATCCTGAATCGGTATACCTGGTGGAGTATAACGTTTAAAAAATGGTTCGTTAGTTTCCTTAAAAACTCTATTATTTGTTTCCTGATCGTGTTCACCGCTTTCCATAGCTAAAGCCAGTTTACCGCTGTTCAAATACTGCCAATGATGTGACTTAGTCAAGTACTTGGACTCATACCCTTTAGCTTCCATTTCACGTAACCACTTTTCGAATTTCTCATCATCCCTACATCTTTTAGAGTTCAAATTTGAAGCGGAGACTGCTGTTTTTGAATGCATCTTTGTCGCTTCATCCTTCTGAAGACTCTCGTAAGAATGCAATGCGTTGATATTCGATTTTATGTTACCTAAAATTCGATCTCGACACTTATCACAGCACGATTGCATCTGTTGCTTAATAAGCTCCAACACAGTTCTGAGTTCACTTTCAGATAAACCGGAAATCATCGTTGTCGCTTCACTTACTTTTGAAGCGTTTGTGGGCTTGGGTTCTTCAGGATCGACAATAAACAGCGGAAAACTCTTATCTTCTACGGGTTCTATATGACCCTGTTTTTTTTTCAGAATTTTACATTCTTGCTCATGCTTACGGGATTTATCAGAGCTTTGGGGCTCAAATTGGATTTGTTGCATTTGGGGTTGCACGTTAACTGGTTCACGAACAGTATTCTCGATAATCTTATAATTGTTAGTTTCTGAAAATACAGGCAAATGCGTAGGAACGTGATTTAAAACCGGCATTTGGACGCCATCGTAATACGCTTCATTGTTGTGTTCCTCAATTGTGGTAGCTTCTTCACAGCCTGTATTTATCTCCATCGGCGCTTGATTTGCGTGTTCCAAAGCAGCCCGAATGGAAGCGGCATTGTAACGCATCAGAGCTTCCGCCGGATCTTCATCGGGGTTCAACGTTATCTCTTTTAATGAGTTCTTATAAGTTTTACGTAACTCATTTAATGAATTCGCGTCGATGGGCTGCAGCGTACCGTAATTGGCGTTCCGTTTATGTCTTATGCAATCACCTTTGTAAGTTTTACCTTTATCTAAAATACTGTTTAGTCTTAACTTACAATCTAACCTTGTTAACTTTAACGAAGTTGTGGTTGGCGAGATTGTAGGCGTTGTTATTGTTGTTGTGGTAGAATTTGGCTTATCAATAATCGAAGATGTTTTCGGCTGCGATGTTGGGTGTTTTTGATAAATGTCTTCATTGGCCGTCGACGTTTCGTGGTATGATGTTGTACTTGGCACAACTGTGGTATTAACGGGGTTGCGGTCTGTGTCGGACATCATTTTCTGAAATGCGTCACCTGTTAATGATATGAAATTTGCAAGGAAACCCAAAACAAAACTTTGATGAGCGTGAGTGAAGTAATTAGTAACGAAGTGATAAATGATATAGTGTGACTATGTGAGCTCTACTGTCAATATATGTATGAGAGGCTAGGCTATTTATAAATATAATACAAAATATGAAATTTTCAATATCTACATGTATATATGTGTGAATAGGTCAGTTGCGATAGACCGTCAGTTTGTTTAAAGAATATGTTTTGTTTCGCTAAGTACCGAAGCCATTCTTACGAAAGTAGAATCTATGCCATCTTAGCATCAGTCCTTAATATCATTTAATAATGTTTGCTCTTGCTACAAGTAAGGAGGAACGTGAGACACTTATAAAAAACGGTCCCACTTCTGAGTGTACGTTTTAAGTTCCTTCTCATTTTCCAATAATATCCAGAAGCGACAATAGAAAGAAAGGGCCAAAAACATCTGCCGCAGGTTTAAGCGTCAATTTGCCAATTATAGGTAAGAAAGGATATATATTTCAGGTCTAGAGACATGACCTTGACGTGAATACTTTGGCCAAATACACAGATCTTTATACAAGCTAATAAAGCAGAAAAGCAGAGGTTGTCACCAAATGTTGAAATTATTGTAATCGAACATTAGATATTCAAAATGATTTAAACAAACTACGGATACACTACTGCACTGCCAACTACGTGTGTGTACATACAATTACTTAATGATTAAAATTGCTCACCATATGTGTGTGCTCCTGAAGCATGGCTCTGATTTCATCGTCTCCAACAGCAGTTCTGTAAGATACGATACTGGGTGCTGCATATCCAGTGCTACTGTAGCTTCCTCCTGCACTTGCACCATAGCTTCCATAACTTGGGACTCCATCATAGGGCTTAGGCGCACCATAACTTCCACTAGCACCGCCACCGTAACTCGCACCATAGCTCGGTTTGCTGCTTGAGCCATAGCTTAAACTTGCACCACCATAACCGCTGCCATAAGTTAATGGGCGACCACCAGTATTAGTATAGTAATTAATAATTGTCGGTCTCAAGGCAGGATGTGGTCTATTTTTTTGTTTTCTCTTTTTATCACCACCTCCACCCAATCCAAACATGTCGAATTCATGGAAAACAGAGCCGCCTGAGCGATCAATTGAGTCAGTGGGGAAAAGAGTAATATTATCGCGTAATATACCAAATAGATTACCTTTAAATCGAGCTTTTTCAGCATTCTCAGGCATTTGTGGCGTAGCCTCACCGACTATGTCTTGTTCTTGAGTTTGCCGTTGCATGTCACTCATTTGCGCCATTACCTCGGTCTGAGGATGTTGCGATATCATAGGTGTGTGTTGCATTAGCATGGGCGGCTCCTGCATTGTTACCCGAGGATGTTGCATCATCATTGGCATTTGGAGCTCTTGCACCGTCCTTGGCATCTGTCCCATCTGCATTGGAGCTTGTTGTGCTACCATCTGAGGTTGTTGCAACATCATTGGCGTGTTTTGCATCTCTATTGGCGCTTCCTGAGCTACCATCTGAGGTTGTTGCATCATTGGCATCGGCATCTGCTGAATCTGCATTGGAGCTTGCTGCGCTACCATCTGAGGTTGTTGCATCATTGGCATAGGCATCTGCTGAATCTGTATTGGAGCTTGCTGCGCTACCATTTGGGGTTGTTGTATCGTCATTGTCATCTGTCGCATCTCCATTGGATCATGCTTTGCTGCCATATGTTGTTGTTGCATCATAGGCATCGGCATCTGTTGCATCTCCATTGGAGCTTGTTGCGCTACCATCATAGGTATCGGCATCTGTTGAATCTCCATTGGGGCTTGCTTTGCTACCATCTGAGGCATCTCAGTTTGTTGAATCGTTGGTAGCGGAGTCTGCTGCATCATCATAGGCTGGTGCATTGCTACTTGTGGCTGTGGCTCCGCCCACATTCGTCCATCCGCTGATTGGCTTGACATTGGTGGCATGCTTGGGTTCTGCAAATTCTGGGCATTTTGGGAATTTTCTTTCATCCAATTTAACATGTCAGATTTATGATCCATCCACTGGCGTTGTGAATGCGTTTGGGGACTTTCCTCCATTGCCTGACGCTGGTGTTCCATTATTGAGTTTTCTGGCTGATTTTTAAGTATCGGTTTTTGTTCATCAAACCACTTCCGATCCATATTTTGTTGCATTTGTCTCATTTGCGTTAACGTGGGATTCTGTTTAAAATGTTTTTCTTCTGGTTTCCGATTTTCTTCATCCAGCCACTGTCTATTAATCGATGTCTTTGTATCAGATGGCCACTTACGTTCAGTTGTTTTGGAAATATCTCCGGAAGCTTGAGTACCATCTAGCTCTGGGTCGCTTGATGGCTTCTTACTCTCTGAAGATTCTAACATTCGAATTCCATTAGCATTTGCCATGCGATATGCATAAGCCATCAGGCGGACAATGTCATCTCTTGACAATTGTCTTGGGGTCATCGTTGACTTAGAGGTTTGGCGTTTGATATTTACACCACTTGGCGTATATATGGTCATCTTTGCAGCTTCTTTGCGATTCGCAACCGCGGCTTTGTGCAAAAGCTTTTTGACATCATCGTCATTCAATGCTTTCTCAATATCAGAGCGAGTTATCTTATAAATTGGTATCTTACTCAGCATGCTGATATGTGCATTAGCATTAGCATCGTCTTTAAAACTTTGTGACTTTGAGCCCAATGACGCTGCCCGCATTTCCTTAGCTTGACGTTCAATGTCCTGTAGGAACTTTATTTCAGTTATAACTTGGCGTTGGAATGCTTGCAACTTTGTTTGTAGTTGCTTTTCTTCGACAGTTTTTTCTTTAGGTGTAGTAGGTTTTTTCATTTCAAGGTCGTGAACGTTTTCAGAAGAATCAGCGGGAATGCGGAACCATAAAATTGGTAATTTCTTATGGAGAAGAGCTTTTTTCAGAGCAGCCGTCATTTTCAACTCATCCATATTCATATCTTTTTGCATTTTTTGGTCATTGTCAGCTATGGAAATTGAATCTGGTTTGACACGAACTTCTGATATCTGAGAAGCTGCTGGTTCAGCATCTGATGCAGATAAGGATTGATCTAACGATTGCAGCGGACGAAGATTAAATAAGTTGCCTGACTGGCTAAGCATTTGGTTGCTTGTATCTATGACAGATTGAAAGTTGGGTAGTTGAAATCCACCAGAAGCTGCATCGGAATTAGTTTGCTGAAAGGCCTGACCCAGCATTTGTGTACCTGCGTCTAAAGCTGATTGAAAATTTGGTAACTGAAAGCCAGAACTTGGATCACTATTTGGTTGTTGAAAAGCCTGACCCAATAATTGTGTTCCTGCATCTAGGGCTGATTGGAAATTTGACATTTGGAATCCTAATGGCACTTGTGGTGCAGCACCACCTTCAGAAGTAACGGCTTCACCTTCCGCTTGCGGCAATGCTGCACCTACTGAAGGATCAATGGATGGTGGTGCCTGCCCTAACATTGGAAACTGTGACAAATCTAAACCGGGAAACTGTTGAAATGTTTGCGATAAAAGTTGACCCATCGTCTGTGAGAAATCCTGCGGCACAAATTGCTGCAACAATTGCCCAGCATTTTGCTGTAACAACTGATTGGGACTCTGTTGTTGCATTTGTTCCAATGACTGCGCTAGCATCTGCCCGAAATCAGCTTGACCAAATTGAGCCAAGAACTGACTAAACATATCATTTTGCCGAATTGTTCGTGCAGCTTCCTGATGGGCAGCTCTCATCGCAGCATTAGGATTACGGTCTTCAGCTAACACTAAAACAACCTTTGAATCGGCTGGCATCTCATCACTCATTGCAGGTCCTAATTGGTGTGTTGAACCCAATAACGAGTGCGTGCCTAAAAGCGACGCGGCAGGAAACAGGTTACCCATTAATAATAAGGAGTTCAACGCCGGAAACATTGCACTAAACAAATTGAATGGTGTTGGCAAGAAAGACTGCCCTAAGCTCGGTGTAAACAAAGACTGGCCCACGATCTGTGAAGTAGAAGTAGAAGATGTCGTCGCATAAATTTATTGCTAGAAAAGCACATCTCAAACCTGGTCTGCACCGCGTTCATCTTCGCCCTTTTCGAGTGTGAGGTCTGCGGGTGGAGTCAAGTCGATTGTATCCTCGTCTTGAGTCGATTCCGCTGCTGCAGTTATTGATTTGTCTTGGGACGATGCATTAGAGGACATCGAGAAGGCCAGCAAAACAGCCAGCAGGGCAAACATTTTACACTAGAATTAGGATATGCAATAGTTTAACAACAACAAAAAACGCATTCTGCATTTTTTTTCATTCATACCCAAATCATGGCCCTTATGCATCTACGATCACTCGGTCGCTAGTTTAAAATTTAAACACACACACACACTTGATGGTATTTCCAGTATTCTTATATTAAATATCCTTTTATCCTTTAGTAATGAATATCCTTTTAATATTTTATCACTTGCTTAATAATCCGTTGGTATTGCACTTGACACTGGACACCGGGTACACGCTCGCCAACGCGTTCAACTTCTGACTAACCGTAATCGCTTGGCCCGCATGCACAAATAGATTTTTTGCGATCAAATAAATTGCAGACGTCGAGTATTTTATTTTGCCATTATTATTGTAAAAGCGAAAAAAGTGGGAAGTAGTTTCGCTAACGTTTTGTTTTTTATTTCGTTATTTTCTTTTTGCAACCCAATTTCAGCCAAACGGAGGGCAGCTGAAACTGCATAAAATACAGTAAAAACAATTGTGAAGGTTCTGAAATCGTTGACCAAAGGCCAGCAGCGAATGGCCCAGAATTGCACGCACCAAATAATAAAGCCGCCCAAATATCTGTAAGTACGTTTGTTTGGAATTGTATGCAATTCCGTGCTTTCTTTAAAAATAAAAATTGAATGCATCAGTACATGTATGGGACAAGTACATACATACGCGCATATTCGGGCGCTGAAAAAATATTACAATAATCGTAAGCGAATGAGTATTTTTTTGCACAGTAAGCGGGAGTTAGACACACATACGCATGTACATTTTGTCATAAGTAAACACACATATGTATATATGTATGTAAATATAGCACATTAGCATAGTGAGAAAACTAAAAATGTTAAAACTGCATATGGGCATTTCCACCAGAAGACTCACCACGAACAAAATATTAAAAGCTAATAAAACTATTTTGATATTTTGAATTAGCATACTGTTATAAGGAGTCAGTCATATTTGAGTAATGTAAAAAACCGCTTGGTTATCACAAGACTTTTGGAGTTACGACAGTCAAGCAAACGCAACTTTTCTCTTTGAATATTTCTAATTTTAATTTAAAAAAAATTACTTAGTTCTGCGCATAAACTTTTTTTCAGACTTTGCAATTGAAAATAACTGTACACTTTGCTCGTTATTATCACATCTAGTACCGAAGGTCAGAGCCGTTGAGAAAAATCCCGGGGTATATACAATCATATTTTTAATTTAAACAATGCAACAAATCTAAAATCAAAAAACCAAAAGTATTTCGTTGGTGCATGGATTAATCTCGTTTTTGAAACAAACGAAGTCCGACCTGTTGCATACAGAGCTTGACGTGAGTCTGTCAGGTGGTTTGTTTTGAGGCGATGACGAACCTAATACTACAAAGCCATCAAGTCATCAGCCACAAAATATAAATTTGAGTAGTATTTTACACCAAACACTCACAGCAGCAAAAAAAAACACCAAATAGGAATTCATTAATGAATCAGAAGATGGAAATTCTATAATCGTAAACTAAACTTAGTGTACATATGGCAGTCTTAAAGAAAATTGAAAAAAAGTAAGTAGAGTTTAGAAATACCAAAAAAAAAAACTTATAATCAACACAAAAGAAAAAATGGAGTTCTTGAAAGAGAATATAAGAATAGAGGCGAAATTAAAAACTTTTTTGTCAAAAATATCAAAAATGCTGTTAAACATTGTGAAGCGTGCTCCTCAAAAATGTACTGACTTCCGTAACCAACCGCGAAATCCTGTTATAGTATCCAACACAATTATAACACCCACAGCTATGCAATTAAAAAAATAACTAAACATAACTATTTTAAAGGGTATGTTTTATTTCACAATTTCCCAGTTATAACCAAATTCAAAATTTTGTTTTAATGAGTAATTTTTTTTTATCGTTTTTTTTTTCTCTTGTAAACTTATGACGTACCGTATTTTACATTTTAGAAGACGATATAAATGATGTCGCCTTACACATTGAGGTTGAAAATTTCAATGAACGTCATTATTTTCCATTACCAAACTTATTTATATGTTTACAGATTTACCGCTGTATAAAAATCACGGTCGGTCCCGAGGGAACGGCCATCTATCTGTTCGAAGTTAAATAATCCAAACTTTCATATTGTTTCGATTTGCTATTTATTTTAACTCATTTAAAATGAAAACGTATCCAGTACAAAATGTTATATAAGAGAACTCCTTTACTATTAAGTCTGATAACTTTCAGGTAATGCAAAACTTAAGGGGATAACGTAACATGAAATTTAAAAAGAAATTAACAAGCAATTCAATAACTCGAGTATCTTATTTTTTAAATGTTATTACCAACGCTGCTTATGACTCCCGCCTGAGTTTGTATATTTCGGGGAGCGATGTTCGTAATCACTGACAGAACTTGGACTAAGCGAAGGTTTTAGAGGTGTCGATGATTTGATATTTTCATCTGAATCCCAATTTTCCTCTTCAGAGTCCGAGCAACGCGGCTGACGTTTTACAGGCGACAACGATGAACGAGTTGGGGCAGTATTGGATGCATAGGGCACCTTGAGGCCACAGTGTCGTCGAGGTGGTACCGGTGGTAATGGTGCACGATATGGTGAAGGTTTTGAACGCCGCAAATAAGGTTGCGGCATTTGTGAAGACTTATCCATTGCAACCCCAGGCGAATCAATATAACAGCTTATGAATGGTGCAGACGGTTGGAATGTTGTAGGTGGAGCAGAAAAATTTGTCGCTGGTGAAGTAAAGGATCGCATTTGTTGTTGTACTGCGATGGACTGTGACTCCACTGGTTGTATGAAACTGTATGTAGCATTAACAACGGGCGCACACCCGAATGATCTACCCCCGTAACTAGACATATTTTTCTTTTCATAAATGACACCGTTAACGTCAACGAAAAGTCCAAGGTTTTCCAAAATTTCCAATAACTCGCCGGCGCAATAAAGTTTGAATATATCGAAAACGGCATACGGATCATTCAAGCGAATCGAATGAAAATTATTGATAGCGCGCACCAATATCGAAATGGTTTGATTTATTTGTATTTTCATTGTAGACATAAGGGACTGATACCATGGGGAACGCTGCAAACAACCATACAGCAGCATATTGGGCGTTGGCTGAGATAAGGCTTGGTTATGTTGTTTTGAAAATGTCTCAGCATTATAAACGCTGCTCGAACGCCGGGGATCGCTTTGAACAACTTTATTGATGCCACAAAAGATTGCAGAAGAATTCAAAGCACTGTTTTCCTGAGAAATAATTTAGATACAGAAGATAAAATTTGGAATTATATACATACATATATACATAACCGTACCTTTTTTATGAACTTCAACAGTCTGGGATCAGGGGTATTAGAACGCAATAACAAATCTAAATTATCTGGTTTGTTTATGGAAATGTTTGATACATCAATTTCCTTGATCTAGAAAGAAAGTAATGAATACTAAATATCATTAAAAAGTAACTACTCCTACCAAATAAAGAATTCCTGTACAGTGGCCATCGATTTCCAGAGCTGGTTTATAATCATTGGTGAAGAAATTCACCTTCATTGGACTGATAATTTCACTAGATGTGGGCGACAAGGGTGTATTGGAAATTGTTACGATTGTGTCTGCGTCATAGGAACTAAATTTACCACTAATTTCATCGTTTGTCTTCGGGTCGAACTCAATTCGTCGCTTTGCTGAGATTATTGGTCCTTCAAATTTATCTATGTATGTATATAATTTATGTTAAAAAAGTAGTTTCGGTACATGTAGACTTATGGACAAAATAATAGGTGTGCGTTTAGCTGGTACTGTTTTTTAGCCAAATGGCGTTGTAACTGTTACTTTTTTTTGATACCGTTACATTTTTATGATGAAAGAGTAGTGCATAAGCATCAAAAAATTTTTATTATAATGGGTCGTAAAAGCCACTGTACCGATGTAGAGTATCGATTGGTAAAAAAAATTGCATGATAAGTGAAGAACGTATAAATTCATTGCAAATACGAAAAACTTTGGAACTAATGCTCTAAAGCAAAAAAAAAATGAAAATGAAACTCATGGTCGTCCAAGAAAAACTGGTCTGATTGATTCAACTCGCCGTATACTTCTCATGGCAAAAAAGAACCCTTTTGAGCCTTAACGGCGAATTGCAGCTGAAGTTGGACTAAATGTTAGCTCACGGACAATTCGGCGTCGATTAGTGAACAGTAATCTACCGGGGCGTAAAGCCAGAAAAGTTCCTCGTCTAAGAAAGGTCCACATACAGAAGAAAAAAGCTTTTGCCGCTTTTGTAGATACACCAAAAAGACAGTTAAGCGAAAACATAATGGTGTGGGGATATTGATCTTGCAAAGCGTTGGTCCGTTATTTTGGATAAAGGCCACAATGACCGCCATTGAGAACAGAGACATTTTGCAAAACGTGTAGCTACCATATGCTGAAGAAAACATGCCGCTGAGATGGAGTTATCAACAAGATCTACCCGAAACATACATCGAGGTTGGTATCTGCGTGGTTAAGGGATGCAAATATGACCTGTATGCAATGGCCTAGTCAATCCCTTCATCTCAACCCGATTGAGAACTTGTAAAGTGACCTTAAGAGGAGTTTGGCAGCCTTTTCTTTTCAAAATAAGGAGCAATTGTGGCGAAAAGCAAAGCAACCGTTCCCATAACAATCGGGTCTACGTAACCTAATGAAAAAACCACGGAGAATATACTGTTCAAAAGCCCATGGACCGAAAAAAATAACTTGAATTTTTTGATTTTATTTAGAAAAAAATGTTTTACAACTATTATTTCGGCCAATGATATTTCTTATTTTGAAAAAAAATTCAGGTTTAAAATTCGGAATGGTAAATTTTCGACATAATGTTGAATAATGTAAAGCGTAAATATGTCTAAAACAAAATTTTTTTAAATGCAAATTTTTCAAAGTTATTAAATAAAAACTGTGTACACCTATTATTTTGTCCATAAGTGTATATTATGTCTTACCCTCGCAATGCGAACTAAGGGTTACATTGCTTCCTAGATCATTAGCACTAGTGTCTAAATCATTAGTCACCACTGGAACCTTTGAATGTTTGTCTTGGTCGCAATCCTTTTGACTATGACACTTTATAGACTCATCTGATACAACACCACTATCTTCGAACTTCAAAATTTCGGTTTTTTTTGACGTAAGTAGTGGAGACTCCAGCGAAGCTGACTTTGGTAAAAGCTCAAATCTGTCTTCCAACACTTTAGATTGACAATGGGCAGCGCATTCTTTTCTAACAGCTGATACTTCGGAAGTATGTACGTCCGCATTCTCGAATATATCTAAAATGTATTTTAAGATTTAGCGAGTTGTCCCAATAGTTCTTGTAAATAGTTTACTGTATTTCTCTTGGTCTGCGTTACTAGTATCCTCCATTAAATTCATAACCTTAATATTATGTTTCTTTGCTTTTTTCTGGACCGGAGTCGATCCAGGTTTCTTAGTTTCAGCTACATCGGCTATAGTTTCCACTTCACTTATATTGGAAAAAGTAAGATCAAGATTGGTCGTACTGTCTGCATCCACATCAAATTTTTGCTTCCTTAACGGAGTTGGTAATTTTTTGATCAACACTGTTGGTTGCAGATTTGCATTTTTTGGTGTCGCTGAAATGGGGGTGCAGTTGTTATTTTAGAATTTATGTGTTTCTTTCAGAATGTCTGTGCTTCGTCAGTATATGTTCAACATAAAGTTGGAAAGGTGGATTTTTCAGAAAATTGGATACATTTATTCGAGATAGATATGGAGTTATATATAAATGATCAGGATGGCGAGACGCGTTGAAATCTGGGTGAGTGTCTGTCCATCCGTCTGTCCGTGCAAGCTGTAACTTGAGTAAAAATTGAGATATCGTAATGAAACTTGATACACGTATTCCTGCAAAAAAAAAAAAAAAAAAAAAAAAAAAAAAAAAAAAAAGTAAAGACGAGTTCACTACCACGCCCGCAAAACGGCATTGAGTGAAAACCCACAAAAACCCGTAACTCAGCACTAAACTACGATATAAAACTGTAATTTGGCCGAGGGTATCGCAATAAGAAGGGGCACCTGTGGGTTAAAAATTTTTGAAAAAATGGACAGGGCGCCACCGTCTAAAAGGTTTAATTTACATACAGTATTGTGTAAAACAAAAGCAACACATTTATTTCAACCGAAACTATTGATTTATTTAAAAAAAAAAAAGTTTAACAAAAGTCGGATGTCTAAATATTTTATTCTTGTATTCTCTCTAACTAAAAAAAATTTAAATTATTAGTTCTTAGTATACAATCATTAAATAAAATAACAAAAACTCCTTCATAGTCAATAAGTCAAGTGTGCAAAGTAAGGCAACAAATAAATATTTTGTATAAGAACCCTTAGCTTTCATAGCCTTAGCACATCTACGTGGCATTGGTGGTGTTAATTTATCGATTGTGGTTTTGCGGAATATTTCTCCATGCCGTTTTTAAAGCTTTAAAAAGTTCTTGCTGGTTGCGGAAACGTTGGTCCGAAACTATCTGCTTTAAATACTGAACAGGTTCTCGATTGGGTTCAAGTACGGTGATTGAGTTGGGCAAGTCTAAGATAAGATTTTACCAATTTAGATGTGTGTTTCGGGTCGTTATCGTGTTGAAGAACCCAAGAAGAGGCATATTCCATTCAACATAAGGTATCATTTCCGTTTTCAAAATATCTTTATACAAAAAGCGATCCATTATTGCATTTATTTTTGTTAAATGACCAACACCCCTGCTGCCCAAACCGCCGCCATGCTTGAAACTTATCTCACAATCCTGTGGATCAAGACGTTTACATTTATTAAGGCGGACTGTACACATTCCATCAGAAATGATTATATTAAATTTGAATATATCGCTATATAAAACTGTCTTCCATTTATTTATGGTCCAATTGCAATGTGTGTTGGCAAAATTTAATTTAAAAAACATATCGGAAACTTTTGTTAAAGTCCCAATCACTATTTAACAATTTATCCAGTTGAAATAAATTTGTTGCTTTTGTTGTGCACAGTACTGTATCTCCTAAACAACTTAAGATACAATAACAAAATTCGCTCAGTACAAATCCCTTAAGCACCCCTACCGAGCTGTAAAAAAATAAGTGAAATCGGAGAACAACCCCGCCCACTCTCCATATAACGGTTCTGTTAAAAACTAAAAAATTTTATACCCAAGATGGTGCGAGGTCTTTATAGGAGCCGGGATCAAAATAAGACGATGGGCGTGGCACCGCCCACATTTTGGTGAAAACCTATATCTCAGAACCTATCGACCGATCTCGACCAAATTTGGTATGCAATATTATTTTGTCATTACTGTTTCAGAGGGAAATCGGATAAAAATCACGCCTACTTCCCACATAACACAATTTTAAATTCCATTTAATTCTGTCACTTTACAGTATGCAAATCAAGCATCAAAAAATATATCGGGACAAAACTGTTCAGGCCGAATATGGGACCCTAGTGCCTAGTGCTACCTTCTCGAAATATTCTTGAACTACACTTCATACCGCATTTATCGGCCAATATGTGAGCTATCTTAATAAAATAAAGTGTATCTATTTTTCTTATAAGGGTGCATTTTTGTGCCTAAAATGAGTAAAATCGAGGAAAACTTGCCGTAGCCCCCATATATCTAATATCACGATTTACGAACATTTTTAATGAAATTCAGGGAGCATTTTATGCCCCTACTGAAGATGAAGTAATTCAAAACAATTTAATTTAATTATTACTCACGAAAAGGTGAATAGTTTATATAATGGACATTAGTTCAGATTTATATATTACGATGACAAAAAATGTGATGTGCTGCGCATGAGAAAAAACCAGATTCCATTCCATATTCAGAATAGGCCTTGACATACATAGCTCCGTCCCGCATGATACTAACTACCTCTTTGCATACCCCACTAAAACTACTTACCTAACACCCTAACACTTACCGATCCAAACAAGGTTAGATCGCCAAAATAACAGCCCTTGACCGAATAAAAATTGTTACATAACACCCCTTTACCTATGGTCCGACCGCTTTGAAACAGCCCACCGAAATCAGTTGCTTCTACTAGATTGTGTTCATGTTTACTTTGGAGTGTCTTACTAGTAGTTGTGACGGCTTCTTCGGTAAGAGCTGTTTTAACTTTATCCTTTTTATTCCGCATATTATCCAATACCCTGTTCTCTTTTCCATTCAATTCCGCAATAATGTCAGTTAACTCCGAGCGCACTTCTTTAAGGGCAGCTCTCGATTGAGGCACTTTGACACTGCGAATTTTGGTAAAACATTCCTCAATATCTTCCAAGCTGCGTTTTTCCTCAATATTTGATATGTTTTTACTCTACAACAATTAAAAATGTAAGTTTACTATGAATGTGTAATTATAATTTAGATGGTATTACCTCATAAATAGGGGGGAGGCTTTCGTCTATTACTAATGGGTTCTCATCATCATCGTCATTTGCGTCCAATTTTTTCAATTCCTCTGCGATAGCTTTCAACGGCTGCACGTCTTTGAGAATTGTTTCGTCCCGCATTTCTTTTTTTACTAAAGCTATAAGTAACTGTAATTGTTTGTTACTGAGATTTATTTCAAGTAATTTCCCAAATGGTATATTCAACATTTGTTGAAAACTTTTAATATTAAATTCAAATAGTTTTTCCATCTGTTGGTCGTCCAGAAAGCTTAAAGCTTTCCGAAATTGGAGGTTGGGTGGCTTGGAATTTGTCTTCAATGGTATTGTAATTTCAGGAACTATACTATTCGGATCCGTTGCAAGTTTTGCATTGTCCTTCAAGCAATTTTCCATATCCACTATCACTGCAATATAAATAACCAATTATTATTGCCATTTTACGCTCAATTCTCAGAATGATATACTTATATAATAAAAATAATTAATTTTGAATTTGCAAACGAGGTTGGTAGTATTTAATGAAGAAGAAAACAGTTAACTAAGGTTGCACCGAAGCTAAAATAAAAAAATTTACCTACAAGAACTTAATTTTGTTCAGGCAGTTTGTATGGCAAGTTATAGTGGTCCGATCTGAAAAAATTTTCGGAGATTGTACCGTTATCCTAGACAATAAACCGTGATTTTTATTTTTATCCGGCCAATGGCTATCAACTCGGGAAAATTCTGCCGCTACAAAAACAACAATAAACGGTGTAAAATTTAGAGATAATTGTCAATACTTGTCAAATAACAAAGTTTTTCATACCAGAACTTAATTTTGATCGTTCAGTTTGTATGGCAGCTATATGCTATGGTGGTTCAATATCCGTTCCGACCACTGAGCAGCTACTTGGGGAGGACATATGCAAAATTTCAGATTTTTATCTTAAAACTGAGGGCCTAGTTCGCGTATATACAGACATACATACGAGCAGACAGACATGGCTAAATCAATGAAATTTATAGGTTAGGTCCCCCAACGAAGGAGTCAGTCCCAGTTGTCAAGGCAACATATTTCTATTTAGTGATTAGCATCGCTCCTAACCTTTAAATCTCTGCATTTGAAGTTTATCTACATACATATAGTTTTCATTTGATAGCACGGTATCTCCATAGGGAAATACGTCAATAATTTATAATTATGACAGTTAAAAAGATTATCTAGTTTTAGTATTTATAAAAACAAAAAAAAACACTATGCCACGAATTTCTTGCCTTCCTTATTTTCCGTTGTACTCTCACATACAACTCCAATTGAAACACCCATAGGGCTGAATAATGCAGAAGTAGTTGATATTTTTCTTGAGTGGGACGTCGCAATACCTCCAGGGGTGTTTACAGATATTCCACCGCTTTGTTCTACGGACATCGTCACAATTACGCCTCTACTCCGTTGTAATTGGCCCTTCGCGACTACTCTAGACGGACGTTTTTTGCATATTTGTGAAGTTTTCCGGGCCCGCAATTTTTTCACTATTCCACCACCTACGGCCTTATCGTCTGATGAACGAGCTGGCATTTTTAAGGTTTAAACTTTTCAAATATATTTATTAAATCTACGTCATAAATAATCCGGACAATTTTAAAACGACGCCAATTCATCCCAAAAAGTAACGGTGCTTTTGCAAAAAATCTTTAGGGATGTTTAGATGCCAATCGATATTATAGTTTTACGGATATTAATCGAAATTTAGCAAGTCGCCTAACAGTTTGTAGAAGTCTTGTTGTTGTCTTAAAACCGATTAAAGGGCCATGCACGACATACATGTACGATCGATCGGTATGCACACAAGTGTGTCGTGTACGTTCTTGTGTACACACAATCGCTCATTTGGGAGTTTGACTATCTGTGTATATGGAAATATTCCTTGTCAGAACAAGGAGGCGTTTTTTAATTGCTTTTGTCCACTTCGTCTCTTTCCCACTGTTCTCTGGAAGGAAGGCAATACTGGGGAACGTATTTAGATCCAGCTCAATGGGATTAAGAAAATCTGTGATGATGGGAAGGAAAGGAAACTTTTTAACCCTTGTTGTTGGCGACTAATATAAAAGATTCTATTAGTCCAAGGGCTAACTTCGCTGCCATTTGTTTACAAAACAGGTCTGTTGGCAGTAAGTGTGGAATTACGTTTAGTGTCTGGCTTAGCGTATTTTGTGTTTCCTAGTGAACAATACAAGCTACAGACCGTTTATTATGTGTTCTTCTATTAGCTTTTCCAGCGTTTTTAATAGGAATGAAGAAATACTAATTGGTCTGAAATCCTTTATGTTAGTTTGTGAGCTTTTGCCCGCTTTTAGTATTTATATCACATTGATCTTCATCCATAACAAGGGAATTTAATTTAATTTCACGATCCATGTATTTCTTTTCTATTGATCTTTTCGCCAGCGGTACGATGGATTCCTAGTTAGCAGTAACAAAATCTGCATCGAGGCCCTGCTGGTCTCCACGCCAGGTCCTCGGAGGCCTTAACAAGGAGGCCGGGGTTCAGACCCTTGCGCTTGGTCTGGATGAGATGTCTTTTTTTGGTCCGCCGTTACCAATTCGGCTCCTGGCTAGCGGCTTTATAGAGTGTGCCCGATCTCTCATCGTAGCAACCAATCATTTTGATCTGGCCCTGGTACAAGCCGGCATCTGTGTATAAAGGTGGCGGACCCGGATTGATTAGGAGCACATCCAGCGCCACAATTGTCAGTGCAGCTTGCACCCATTTCCATTGGACTCTGGGGATCAGGGACATCTCCCACCTCCCTCCCCCTAAGTTTTCTGGTATTAGTTAGAGGTCAGAAAAATTACTTTGAAAATTTATCCGAGACATAAACCTTAAAATTATATTACATCTTTTTGATTTAAACACTGCGCTGTCACAATGGGCAATTTGTCAGTTCGAAAATTTATCCGCGATATAAACCTTCCAATTATATTACATCTTTTTGATTTATACATTGCTCTGTCAGAATTGGCGCCCAAAATTGTTTCGCGTGCTAAAGATAGTAAAAAGAAGTAAACTTCGAATTGTTTGCATTGGATCGTCAACATTGTGTATAATTTTGTAATATAATTATAAATAAAAGCAATGGCGGTAATTAATTATAATCGTTAGCATTACATTCATTAACGTATGTATTTTGCAGGATCAAGTGAGTTCTCCTCCTCCAGCGACGCCTAGTGATGTTGACGACCGGCGTGAATTGCGTGCTGCTATGACTTCGCCCGTTGGGGATTTTGAACCATTCGAAAATGAAGATGAAATCCTTGGAGATCAAACCATACGTGACGAAGAGGAAGAAGATGGTGAGGAATTGTTTGGTGATAATTTGGAGAACGACTATCGTCCTATGCCAGAGTTGGACCACTACGATCCCGCAATGTTGAACGACGATGAGGATTTTTCAGAGTTGTCACAAGGCGAACGACACGCAGCTGAAGCTGAAATGCGAAAGCGTGACCGCGCTCTAGGTATACATCGCGATGATCGTGATCTGGGGTTTGATCACAGTGATGACGACGACGATGTTGGTCCACGTGCAAAGCGCCGAGCTGCAGAAAAAGCAACAGAAGGCGAAATGGAAGATGCAGAAATGATAGAATCCATAGAAAATTTGGAAGATACAAAAGGACATTCTACCAAGGAGTGGGTCAGCATGCTTGGACCTCGAACAGAAATTGCCAATCGTTTTCAATCTTTTTTGCGCACATTTGTTGACGAGCGTGGTACATACACATACAGGGATCGTATTCGTCGGATGTGTGAGCAAAATAAGTCCTCATTTGTGGTGTCCTATACGGATTTAGCTAATAAAGAACACGTATTGGCATATTTCCTGCCTGAAGCTCCTTTTCAAATGTTAGAAATCTTCGATAAAGTTGCAAAAGAAATGGTTTTGTCTATTTTTCCTACGTACGAACGGGTCACAACTGAAATTCATGTCCGCATATCAGAGCTGCCCCTTATAGAAGAATTACGTACCTTCCGTAAACTACATTTAAATCAGCTTGTACGTACTTTGGGTGTGGTAACTGCAACAACTGGAGTGTTACCTCAGCTTTCAGTCATTAAATACGATTGTGTAAAATGTGGTTACGTTTTAGGCCCGTTCGTACAATCACAAAACACTGAAGTAAAACCAGGATCTTGTCCAGAGTGTCAAAGTGCAGGACCATTTTCGGTAAGCTCCTGGGCGAATTATATATTATGCTTAAATTAATTATACTATTTCATTTGATTAGATCAATATGGAGCAAACGCTTTATCGCAATTACCAGAAGATTACTTTACAAGAATCACCTGGTCGCATTCCAGCTGGTCGGATCCCGAGAAGCAAGGACGTGATTCTTTTGGCTGATCTCTGCGATTTATGTAAACCAGGCGATGAATTGGAGGTGACTGGTATTTACACTAACAATTATGATGGTTCTTTAAACACAGAACAAGGGTTCCCAGTTTTCGCAACTGTTATTATAGCAAATCACCTTATAGTAAAGGACAGTAAGCAAGTCGTACAGTCCCTTACGGATGAGGATATAGCAACTATCCAGAAACTAAGCAAAGATCCGAGAATCGCGGAAAGAATTATTGCTTCGATGGCTCCTTCCATATATGGACATGAGTTTATAAAACGTGCTCTAGCTTTGGCACTATTCGGTGGGGAGTCTAAAAATCCTGGTGACAAGCACAAAGTTAGAGGTGATATTAATTTGCTTATATGCGGAGATCCCGGAACAGCAAAATCACAGTTTTTAAAATACACTGAGAAGATAGCACCACGCGCTGTGTTCACAACTGGGCAAGGTGCCAGTGCTGTAGGTTTGACGGCCTACGTTCGTCGAAATCCAATATCACGTGAGTGGACTTTAGAAGCAGGCGCTTTAGTGTTGGCCGATCAAGGCGTATGTCTTATTGATGAGTTTGACAAAATGAATGACCAAGATCGAACATCAATTCACGAAGCCATGGAACAGCAGTCAATATCAATATCAAAAGCTGGCATTGTAACCTCTTTACAAGCTCGCTGTACTGTTATAGCAGCTTCAAACCCAATTGGTGGACGATATGATCCGTCGATGACCTTTTCGGAAAATGTCAATCTTTCAGAACCAATCCTGTCACGTTTCGACATACTTTGTGTAGTTAAAGATGAGTTCGATCCCATGCAAGATCAACATTTGGCTAAGTTCGTAGTCAATTCACACATCAAACATCATCCATCAAGAGAGGAGTATGTACAAGATTCCCAGACAATGGGAGTGGCTGAAATACCACAAGATCTTTTACGGCAGTATATTATTTATGCCAAGGAAAATGTGCGTCCTAAACTCACGGTTAGTAAAAAAAAAGTTAAATAAACATAATTTCGTTTTTAAATTGTCATTTTTATATTATTTTATAGAACATTGATGAAGATAAAATAGCCAAGATGTACGCACAACTTCGCCAGGAGTCTTTTGCTACCGGTTCATTGCCTATAACTGTAAGACATATAGAAAGTGTAATCCGCATGTCGGAAGCACATGCTCGTATGCATTTGCGTGAGAATGTTACTGAGGCTGATGTCAGCATGTCTATACGCATGATGTTGGAGAGCTTCATCGAAGCACAAAAGTTTAGCGTAATGAAGAAAATGCGTACAGCATTCCAAAAGTATCTTTCCTTCCAAAAGGATCACTCAGAATTACTCTTCTTTATTCTTCGACAATTAACACTCGACCAACTAGCCTACATTCGATGCAAAGAAGGCCCTTCGGCAACGCATGTGGAAATAATGGAACGCGATCTCATTGAGCGGGCCAAACAATTGGACATTTTTAATTTAAAACCGTTCTATGATTCGGAAATTTTCAAACAAAATGGATTCTCTTACGACCCAAAACGGCGGACAATTCTACAGATAGTCACAGAAGCCGCTGTGTAACCATTCCCATTTACATATATCATGTTTGTTATGCTTTTAAGGACTTTACGTTTGTTTTGTTTCATTGTACCATGTTTGGCACTTTCATGTCCATCATTATTTTAATGCATAGTTTAAAAGATTTCATATATCCCTTAAAGTACAACTATCAATAAAGTTATATCTTTTACAAACGAAAATGTAAACTTTATTCACGATTAGAAAACCGATTTGTACATAGAAATAATGTATGCGTCTAATCCTCAATACCCATTTCTTTATCGAAATCCTCCTCAGAAATTTTATTTCTTTTCAACTTCTTAAATAGGCGTATATCGTTTGCCAGTTCATCTAAATCTTCTTGTGTATATTGGGGCTTCCTTTTCTTTGTTTTATCGCTTGTCGCTCCGCTTTCGATTTTTCGCTGTTTCTTAGCTTTTCTTAGTTCTTTTTTAGTTTTTGTGTCCATTTTCGCCTTTTTCGTTTGTTCCCAGGCTTCTGTACGCTTCTTGAATTTTTTCTTCCCTGGCCACACACCACTTTCTTCATAGACCTTAAGTTTTTCTTGGCGTATTTTTTCCTTTTGGGGATTTTTATAGCATAATTTTGTTATATCTACATCACATTTAGGTCCGATAAAACTTTTAATTTCACAATTCTTCAATTCTGGCATGCGTGGCATTTGAAGCAATCCGTAGGCTGTAGCTACTCTTCCCAAATCCAAATCTTTCAAACGCAAAATTGCATTACATTCATGCTTTGTGTATGCCTGGACGTGTGATACGAAGGCACGAGTTCCTTTATCAAAAATATCTTTATCCTTAAACTGAAAATATAGAATAGACTTAAAAACTAACAACTCATTGTTATAATAAACTCGTGTATGCTCACTTGTAGAGTATGTAGTTTTTGTAGTGTTTGCTCTAGTTCTTCGGTATTGTGATTGACATCTTGTAGTTCACTTAGTTCAACTTTTTGATTTATCTTTAAAAAAGTAATATAAGCATCTTCCGTGGGCAGCAGATATATTAAAGCATTGCCGTCATTACCCTGTCGAGCTGTACGACCGACACGATGTACAAAACTACTTGCACTTGCTGGCGGATCCCATTGTACCACCCAGTCAATTTCAGGCACATCTAGACCACGTGCTAGTACATCAGTAGAGAGTAACACTGCGTCCGACGACTGTCTGAATTTTTCCACAGTAATTTTGCGTTTATTTTTCATTTTGCCATGAATTCCTAGTATGCAGCGATTAGGTAGACAATGTGTCATGACTGTCATCCAATATTCCACACATGCGCAAGTAGGAAAGAAAACCATAACTTTTCCAAGAGAAGCAAGCGGTGATCGTAAGAAATGTAGAAGAGATAAAAACTTTTCCTCGGGCTGTACGATTTTATAAAAATTTTGCAATTTTATTGGTGTACTAATGCTGGATTTTTCTTTAACCGAAACTCGGACAGGATTCCTTAGTCCGGCCCGAATAAGATCTGTTACTTCAGTAGTTTGAGTAGCGGAAAATAATCCCGTACGACGTTGTCTAGGTAAATAACTAAGAATATTGTTAATAGTTGCTTTGAAACCCAGATCAAGTAATCGGTCAGCTTCATCAAGCACAAGCAATTCCTGTATTGAAAAAATATTTTTTAAAAGGTATAAACATTATTACTCGAATATTTATGTGATTTACCAAACTTTTCACCCTGCCGGCAAGATTTAGATCACCTTTTCTCTCAAATAAATCCTCCAATCGACCTGGGGTACATATTAAAATACATGGGCTGTCTTTTTTAATCGCGGAAATGTCTTCTTCTATGCTGCTGCCACCCACGACTAATTTCTGACGGAAATAACTCAATTCTTTTCTTTGCAAAAATATCTCTAGAACTTCGGATATTTGAAAGGCAAGTTCCCGTGTTGGTGATATAATTAGCGCACCAATTTCTTTGGACGTCCAATTGGTATCAATATGACGATTTTGTAACATCTCTAACATAGGCACCAAAAAGGCTAGTGTCTTTCCGGAACCTGTCACTGCCTCGACACTGACATCTTTTCTTTGAAGTAGTAATGGTATTGAAGCACTCTTTAAAAATGTAAAAGAAAGTAAATAGGAAAAACATTTCACTAGCTCTTACTTGAACCGGGGTAGTCCTCTCAAATCCTAAGCTTTCAATCACTTGAAGAACTGGTGAGGAAAGAGTTACTTTTTCAAGGTCGGTCCATTTTCTACGTGCCATTTATATGGATTTTTCTACTTATTTATTTAGTTGTTTCAAAATTAATCAATCTGTTTCTGTTGATAGGATACTATAGGTCTTTATTTTGTTTTGTTTTGGTGCCAACAACCACGTGTTTAGAGCTGCCATATACCATACGTTTGGCCATTTATTTTTATGAAATCTAACAAAATCTAACAGAGAAGTTCAAATCTAAAAATATATATATGTGGTTAAAGTTGATGTTTAAACCAACCCCCTACACCACCCATTTCCGTTCTCATAACAGTCGGGTCTACGTAACCGGAACGGACCCGGATTTTTTCCGGCCAAGAACTGTCAACTTGGCAAAATTCTGCCGTTACAACAACAACAACAACCATCCCTTTGTCAGACTTAGTCCCCTTTGTACGATGCCACAGAGGGTGTCTACGAATTTACCGCTTACTAAAATAAAAATGTAATCCGCATATCCCTGACAGCGGATTCCATTGTTAGTTAGCACCTCAAGTTCGTCTACAACTAGGCTCCATAGTAGGGGGAATAGCACTCCACCCTGTGGATAACCTCTTGTTGTGCCGACACGAATCCTGGTATCACCTACGGTGGTTTCAGCTACCCAAGTGCGCAGTAAGGTTTTCTATCCATCTGTGCACCGGTGCTGCCTTATTCTTTTTCTCCAGTGCTCTTGCTACGCTTTCGTGAGACGTATTATCAAAAACACCTTCGTTGTCTAGGAAGGCTCATGTCATCATCCGCCCCCGGGGACTTGTATTTTTCGAAAGAAGTCATAGCCCACTTGATTGCATCTGCAGTGAAGAGCTATCTAAATGACTATCCAATCTAAGCGATGAGGCATGTGTTCGATCACAGGTTGACACTATTCTTCTCGAATTGTCTCCGGGAAATGTGTAATGGACGTATAAGTCCCATCCGACCTTTTATTAGCTTGTACTGTGTCCGACTTGCCTATGGCCAGAGCCTTATGCATGTATTAGTTTTGATTTATACTACCATAACAAAATTTTGGGAGCAACCCACTGATACAGAGTTGAAAACCACAAAAAAGTTCGACAACAATCAAACTTCAACCAAACTGCAGTTGAGTTGAAAATCGTAATAGGGGCTTAATGAGCTATTTATATTGTATATAAATATTAATTATTATCTCTCTGTATCGCCAATTACGTTTCATACGCACCACCTTGTTATTGACTGAACTTGTCAAATTACAAATCTTTTACATTTGGTCTGTGTTGAATTTCTTGACGTCAAAAGCAAAGATGGCGTTGATGGGTGCGCACGGTTGTTAAATTCCGTCGGATTTATTTTTCAATGAATCTGGGCTAATAATTAAATAAAAAATAGAAAAGTGCATTGTAAACGTTTGCCCATAACCGCGATTAAGAAATATGACTTTATTACAAATTATAATGCGTGTATTTTAATTATAATACAAGTTACATCAAAACTCTATTCAATTCGTAGTGGGAGAAAAATTCCGATTCAGTTTTGCTGTGTATACGTGAATGGGGAAAAAATTTGCAACACCCTAAGAAGATTGAATATAATAATGGATTGAAAAAAAAAATCTTATTAAAATAAAAGTGCCAACTGTTTAACTGATATCTATAAGTGCTGTGTTTTGATTTGAACGTATGTATATATAAATTGTGTTCTGTTTTAAATTAATGTTTCATCTATGAAATATTTATATTTGCTGAATACCGTAAATACTGAAACTTGGTAACCGATCCCCACATGGAAACACCCTTTCCCAACTGCAATTGCGTATTTGTGTGTATATTTGCTTTGGTTAGGCACAAGGACGAAAAAATACATATCCCTATATAAGAAGTAAAGAAATATCTGCATTAGCACTTCGTTGTTGATAAAAGCCACGAATTTATGTTAACACATAATACAAGAAATCTTCATACCATTGCACCCCACTTCACCTTCAGGCTTAACCAATTGGATGCACAGGACATAATAACACACTCCGTAAGTTGAATTTAGTTGGGGCAGACTCGCTACGTTCATTCGTGACCTCGCTATGTTCTTTCATGAACACATACAAACAAACTTCACTACGCTTTTATACGCTTATTCGTATTTACCACACAGTTCTGACCTCACCACGTCTGTTAAAAACTTTTCTGGATTGATTTCTTTGATATGTTTCTAAGATTCTTATAAATAATTTAATTTTTAAAAACAAAAATTATGTTAAATATGTATATTTTTTAAATTTGTGGTAATAAATCAGTAAATTCGTTATTTTCATCAAATTAAAAAAACAAATAAAGTGGTTACTTAATTTTTAAGTTGTTCATCTTTATGGGTAAGCTTTAGTATACTATCCTACGATTTATAGTTCACTGAATTGTTTCTACATATTTAATTTATATCAATTATATTAATATGTGCTTTAAATAAGCATTTTACTTTTTACACAATTTTCGTTATCTGCACAATTATAAAAGGGTTCCATGTTGATAATAACAAGTGTTGTCATATCTATTATATATATATATATGTATACATATATATTTTGCAAACGAATTAAAATGAATAATAAAAGAGGATTATACTCCAAATACATGAACCAAAATCTTTTCGTTCCCTTCTCTTGATAAATCACAGTTTTGGATCTGCCAAGGTTATTTTTTTTTTTTTTTGATTGGCGACAGTTTTTGCACTATATAATACAAATGTGTAAAAACGAATTAGTGAAGGGTTAGTGGAAATAAAAGTGAAAAATATAAGTGTAAAATTTTTTAAAATTGAAAAAATACGTACTTTAAATAGTTGAAATTTTCAACTTTAAACGCATATATCTCCAAAACTATAAGCGGCTATATCTATATACTTATATTCTTGATCTGGAGGACCGCCGCTATGCGCCCATATCCATTTTATGCCCGAAATCCTGCGACGGTATTCTACAGCCGACCCAATAAGTGCGTAATATAAAAGAAAAATTAACTATAAATCGAGAAATTTCAAGATAAAATTTGTAAAATATTCAAGTTAAAATGAGAGTATCTCGAAAACTTTCTCCTCGTCTATCCAACCATACCCATTTTGACCGTGATATCGTGGGATAGTATACTAAAGTGTCCCCATATTTATTATATATACAAAAATTCTTCGAAGTTATTACAAACCTTAAATTTCAGAATATTTATGTGCGCAGGTTTCTCCATTCAATAGTCATTAGGTTTCATATTTTCGACAAATATAATTTAGATATCTATCTACCTGTCAACGGTTTCGGTATTGGCATGCTTAGATAACGTAATTATGCCTACGTAAAGCTATGCACACATATCATTCCTATGTTTTTAAGTTTATGTTATATTATAAGCTTTTTTTTATGTCCACACTTGCCACCACGTTATACTTTTTTTTATCCTGTAACTAGTAAAATATAATTTGGGTACTTATCAAACATAAATTAAAATTGTATATGAATGTCATGCACGTCCTCCGTTACACAATAAAGAAGTATAGTAAAGATTTAGGGCAAGCCAATGACACTTGTGAATGTGATGTTTTTCAGTTGCATACAAACTGTTATCTATTACAATATTTTAATTAGGAGATAAGAAAATTCATATAGGGAATTGTAGGTATTTTATTTGTGAGAAACTTGCAACGGTTTGCTGCTAGATTTCGAGCTAAAAATACAGGGGAGCTTAAAAGTAAACAAGAAACAGAGGAATAACAAAAATGATAATCTAGCTACAGGTAATGATGTCACCCATTGAAATTTTCGTTTTCTGTGACACATTTTTTAATTTTGTATTGCTTTAAGAGCTTAAAAATGTTATAACGGTTACTTAATTACTTTTACACCTTTAATATGATTAAAACAGCTTTCCTTTGGAAATTTTAGTAAATTTTTGATATTTGAGAAGTTTGAGGAGAGGCGTTTATTCTCGCTTTAAAAAACCAACATTAGCTACTTACTATCTTTTCGACTAAATATATGGACAAGGCAAAATTATATAAAAGCAAGTAAAATAATTTTGTTTTAAATTTTATTTAGATATAACAAAAAGGTTGATTATGGTGTCGGCAAAAGAAGAGAAGAAAAAAAAAATTATTTTATATTTTGTGAGACTTTACGTGAATGCGACGTCACGTTAAGAAACTGCCTTTAATATTGAGGTAAATTTATTTTACCATATTCGGGTCAGTTCCGGTAGAATACAGGGTTATTTCCTTATAATTCAACTATTTTTTAAATCACATGTTAATTACTTTAGAGCAATAGCTGTGGTTTTTACTTGTAAAAGTTTGTATGAGCTTCTTTGTTAATCCGAAACTGTACATATGCAGCCAAATATAAAAGGTACTTGAAGTCTCTTGTAAATGTAGCTAGAATGCGATTAAATCAATAAGTTAAGTGATTGAAGTTCTTCAAACAAGGCTAAAATGATGCTTGAAAAATGGCCAAATGACTAAACTGTGTCACTAGTGGTTTATTGCCGCAATGTCATGATGTTCGATATACAATTTGTAAATGTGTGTGTAATTTACAAAACCACTATATTCAACTGCAAATATCTTCTTAATACGGCTCAAATTAATAAGCAATCGATGATTTAGTGAGGCTTTTCTACTTATCCCATTGTCCAATTTTTGTTTTGGCTCCTATAAAGCTTAATTGTATCATCCTATGTGTAAAATTAAACGTCTCTGCGTCATGCGAAGACTCATTGCATATGTCCTGCATACATTTGGTATTTTGGGGTCGATTCTGGATAAGTAGGAGTTTAACCTGCTACAGTATTATTGTGGCAACCCGAGCTCTTCGTCTGCGATGGGTGGTGTTTTGACTCCAAGTGCGCCACCAACTGAGAGAGAATCGGTGAATGTGTTGATGGCTCCACTGTGAGTGGCGGTCAGTGCATGTCTAAAATTCGTTGCGTCCGAAGTCGCATACTGCCTAATGTCGTCAACGTAATCAAGGATGGACCTCTTGATGTTCCTAGGAGCCGGTTCCGCTTCAAGCAGACGACTGCAAGGGTGGTTTCTACGAAAACATCCCAGCAGAAACTGCTTGGAGATTGCTCGTTATGTTCCTTACCCGGAAGCACCATCACTTTGTAGGTGTTCGATTGGGGACATTAGGAGACATCCCGTGATAGTTCAGAGTGCAGTATTTTGACATGTCTGGAGCTATATCATCCAGGCGGCCATATTGGTGCAGCGTAGTTTAAGACCGCTGTCAAATGTAACAGCTTAACCCTCGGAACTTTGACGTCATCGACTGTGATGTTTAGATCCAGTCTATACTCCTTCGTCCAGTTTCTTTAGTGGGGGGAAGTTTCAGGCTAATTGCAGAGAAGAAGCGAAAAAGGTCGGAGATGTAGCCGTTTACTTTCGAGCACATACCATCGATTCCATTGCCTGACGTCAATATCGTTAGTCTAAATCGAATCAAATTGTTTAGGACTTTACCCCATATGATTGGTGATGGTATGTTAGGACCTTAGTGAAAATGTGGAAGTATTTTATTAGTATGTGGTATTGGCAAAAATTGATAAAATCGGGCTTATACTACACTCAACTTCCATATACTACTCATAATGCTGGTCAGTGAGCATTAATATTTTTTTCTCAAACGAGTATACCATTCGACTTTGCGAGAGTATAAAATGTTCGGTTATATCCGAACTTAGCCCTTCCTTACTGGTTCAAGTTTATTTTTAATATTCATCTGTGTACCAAATTGCATCCGAATTTCTCTGAAGCAGAAACACAAATTTGAATTTAATTAGACAGATAAACTGGTCGCGATCCCCCTGGTCAAAAATACCAGCCTAAAGCTCTAATATTGTATCTTTATATTCAACATACTGAAAGTGAGAAAGTAAACAATGAACAATAAACTTAACTATTGTGAATTAGATCTGGAAAGTTCTTAAAAAACCATAGACAACATCAGTTCATTTCACATTCTTTCTAAAACTAAAGTAAACATTATATAATCAAAACTAATCTAGACAGATGTAAAAATGCTAGATGATAGTCATCATATCTTTCAATTTACTTTCAATACATCATTTATATTCTATTATTTTAAGCTATTTCTGCGTATAAACTCAGTTTTATTTTGTATATATGTGCTTTTTACTAACAAGATTTTTTTATGATATTTTTTTGAAGGAAAAACAGTAAAAACTCCAGTTAAAAATTAAAATTTCACGTAGTAAATCTCTTCGATTGACTAATATTTAATTTTTATTTTTTAATACATCCATACACCGACGTTGAATTGAGTCTATTAGATCCTGACAACATATTGATGGCTTTGCTATTGCACTTAAAGCACTTGGATTTCAAAAAAATTTCATCAACAAATTATTAAATCACTTCAATACACTTACTTATCATTTATCGACCTCTTCAAAACTTTTATCTGTACATTTCTATGTAAATTATTATCTCTAAATTTTTTTGTTTTTCTCTTTTGGTTGGGGGTAATACGCTTGATGTCAAAGTGAAATGAGAAATGCATTTTTATGTAAAAACATACAATATACAGGTGATATTGAAAAATATTAAATATATAAAAAATCTCGCGAATTTTATAAAATATCAGAGAAGCACGTTGTTGAGGTTTTTTGCAAAATGATTGTATA